GCTTCGACCTGCCTTGTAAATTTCTCACACAGATTTCTTTTCCTGTTGTTATGATTTTATTTAAGCCCTCATCGACGTTTTCACTAATATTTTCCCAAATTAAATTTTCTGTTAGTTGTCTTTGAACTGATTTCTTAACTTTCTCGTCTTGTAATTAAGCTGTATCAATATTTTTGTGAGACTTCTTTTGGATCACCTTTTTTTTAATTTTAATTGGGTAACAGCTACTTTGGGATTGTGATCAGACTTAATGTCAGCACCTGGATAAGTTTCAATTGATTTGATGCAGTTTCTAAATCGATTTTTTATTAGAATGAAGTCGATTTGGTTCCTAATAATTTTGTTCTCTGATTCTGCATTTGACTTCTAGGTGTAGATTCTTCTCGGTGTTAGTTTAAAGTGAGTAGTCGGTATAATGAAATCGTGTTCTTGACAGAACTGGACAAGTCGATATCCACGTTCGTTTCTGTTTCCCAAGCCATAATCCTCCAGAATATTCAAACAGCGTCCTTTGCCGACTTAAGCGTTAAAATCTCCAAGGACTATGGTATTTTCTGCTGATTTGACAAGATCTAGACCATCAGTAAGATCTCTGTAAAATGCTTCTAATTTACCTTCATCACTGGCTGATGTTGGGGCATCGCTGGGATTGATAATCTAAACATGTCTGGTCTGTATATATTAATTTTTTTATTACATTTCTTTGATCGTAAATTCCCCTAATATTGTGCATCAAATAAATATCCCCTATAATATCTACGATAGATCGCTAAAGTGTTTAGTTTTATTGTTTGAGTCTGGATTTTTCTTCAAATTAAATGCAAAAAACATACGAAAAAGAAAACACTGTAGATACTTTTAAATAAAAGTTTCTTTATTATTTAATTTAATAAATGTACAACAAATAAAAAGCTCTTACAACTAAACTATTTTATTTTATAAGATAATTGATTGGTTTCTTCTGTTTTGTCGGTATATTACTTTATATCCTATTATAAAACCTGTGTAGAATGTTTAAAAAGAAAAATATTGGATGCTTACTTTCAGATAGACGTATTGTCCTTCGTTTTGCAGCAATTATAATATTACTAAAGTTTCTTTAAATTTAACTATTTTCCTTTATACTAAATATATTTGCAAGTGACGTTTCTAACCAATCGAAGTTTTAGAAATTCCATTGTAAGCGTTAAGACGTTTCCTGGAGCAGATATCCTTTCAGACCATGTCTTAAAAATGACACTAAGGGTAAACAAGATAATAAAATTGAAAAATTCTAAGGTGAATACTCAGTTACTCAAGATAAGTGAAATCCGTGCTGAGGCTTTAACTTGTATTAATCCAGAAATGCAGAAATTTACATCAGAAATAAAAAAAACGAAAAATGTCAACATTATGTTGAGCAAAATCAAAGATTTTGTTATAAAAACACAGAAAGACACTCTATAAAAATAAAGCCGAGCACATTGGAGGACTCAAGAAATACTGAAAACCATCGAAGAGAGAATAAAATATAGAAACAAAAACCCAAATAAGTACAAAGAAAAACATAAATTAATAAGGAACAAAATAAAAGAGTCTAAAGAAAAGTGGATGATAGAAACATGCATCGCAGTGGACGAGTTGCAGAAAAAGCATGATCATTATAATTTACATAAAAAAGTGAAAAAATTATCTGGAAAATCAAGAACAAATACACCTTATGCACGTCTTTAGTTCTAATAATTGTAAAGTCATATATAGATAGATGTCCAACAATGTCAAATGTTTATGTTGAGGTGTTACAAAATATATTTAAAAATACAATAAAATTAAAGTAAATAACACATTCAGAGTTTTTTTTTTATTTATACAAACATTAAAAAGTCACAATATGTTAACAAGAACAGTATAATATAATACAATACTTCTATTCTATCGCTGATGTACAATATATCAAAACATGTAGCCAAAAGAAAAAGTAACATGTTTTAATTAGAGCTTAGTGAATAATTTGAAAAAAAAATTTATTGAAAAAAACATAGAAAGTTAACTTTATTGTTATAGTCATTAAAGTCATTACAAGGAACCAGATAAAAAATGAAGATATTGAGCAGGTGTATAAAATGAAATGCTTAGGATTCTGGATTACGAAAGATCCAAATTCAGACATTCGCTTAAGAATAGAGCAATGAAGAGCAGCCTTTTTGAAGATGAGAAAATTTCCGAGTAAACAAAGACTCAATCTTCAAATCCGATATCAGATGGTAAAATGTTATATCCACTCTATTCTTCTTTATGGTGTTGAAGCCTGAACTGTAAGTGTTGACTTGAGAAAACTAGAAGCTTTTGAGATGTGATATTTTAGGCGAATTTTGAAGATACCATGGACCGATCAGATTACGAACGAAATGGGTGGAGGGATGCCGGTTTTCAACATACCTTCCAGGGAGAGTCTTGTATGCTAACAGTGTCTCTTTAAGCGGTTTTGTACTTGCTGTAAGTCCAATTGGTCCGCTAGCCTTCAATAGCTCAGTAAAGAAACTTAAATGGACTTTTACAGGTGCTTTAATCTGGGCTCCTGAATAGATATAGAGTGAAATAAAGCAAGCTTGTTTAGCTAGAACTGTAATTGAAAAAGGGCAAGAAATAGAAACTTATAAACTGTGAGTGAATAACTAATCGTAGGAACCTAATTAGAAAATTACAATTTACGAACGAAAACACCATAACACTTCACATTAAGGGTTCCGATATATTGCGTAACTTGCGAACGTGAAGAAAATCTCTCCGAAACTTGAGAGGTAGGTCTAATCCCTAGGTCTGTCGCTAATTCACTGTCGGTCGAGCCCTAGCTCCGCTGAAATATTTGTCTATGTATTTTGAATATCGGCCAGATTGAAAGGTCAAATGGACGGAGACTAACATTCTAAGAAATAATGCAGACTGGATTATTTATATAACCGGCGCGAAAATATTTTTATTTGTTTTGAATAGTATTACCTGTTTTGATATATAATTATTTGGTTGAAGATTATAGTTTTCCTACAATGGGGTTGCACAGAATGGAAAGAGACAGAGAACTTTTGACCATCATTAAAAAGCGAAAGACAGCATATTTGGAGCACATACTTAAAAATAATAAGTAAGAGTTGTTGCAGATGAATATGAAGGGTAAAATCGAAGGAAAAATGGGTCCTGGTAGATGACAAATATCCTGGCTGCAAAACATTTACGACTGGACCGGATTAAACACACAGATGCTCTTAAGAAAAGCAGAAGATGGAGACGAATTTGCAATGGTTATAGCAAACTTTCATTAGTGGAGACTGCACAACAAGAAGAACAAGACGTTTTATTAATATTTATTATTTTTTATAGGGAATAACCACAATTTCAGTTGATTATACACTTAGTTTGAAGTTTTGATTTTCACTTCGAATCTCGTTCTCAAAATACCACTAAAACAATACAAATTTAACTTTTTTTTCAGAACAATTTCCGAAGTGAAAATCAAATCAAAAAAATTAACGTATTTTAAACTGAAATTGTGATTAACTTCTATATAAAGATAAAAAATAATGTTTTCCATTCATTTCAATCTAACTTAATTGCTTTTAAAAATGGTAACACTAGTACTTTGAAGCAAAAACTTTTGATCTAGAGTTCTCTTCTGATAAATAGAGAGTTTACATAAGCTTAAACATTAAATTAAATTTGCTTAAATTGGTCTTTTCTGCACCAACCGTGAGTAAGTTTATTTTGATTCGCTACAAGTCTACGTAACTTCTGCAGAAGATGAGTATTCTTTTGGTAACGTTAAAAGAGGTTTTATTAAAATTCGTATTTGCTCAAATTAGGATATCAATTTTAAACCAATTAATTATCTTATATAATAAACTTTATCTTTATTCATTAGTAATTTAACTCGTTCGTAGTGCTATTTGTGCAATATATTTCTGCTACAATTAGACGTTTCATTGAACCGTCTATAAACATAACCATCTATATCATTTTTCAAAGTAAAACACTTGCACGTCACGATTTATACAAAGTGACGTCACTTGTATTTAAAATTTCCAGAACATCAAGCTTAGAGTTCAAATTTTCCTAACACAGCTAATAATACGAAGCCCATACGAAACTACTTCATCTTTCATAGGCATCAGCATGGTGTAATAATCAGAAAAATGTAATCATCATTATGTTGGAAATTTTAAAATTATATTGATTAAATAACGAAAAACATTTGTTATTATAAATAATATAAATTTTATGAAATAACTCTTTAAGTCTAATATTACACAAAATAATAATTTTAATTAAATATATTAGACAATTGGACGCACCTGATGCGGAAATAATTCAAATTTTATTGACAGTTAAGAATGTGGCAAAAGTGTATAAAGTGTTGCCGCTTTTTTAGAGTAGGAAGTTTGTTTATGTTTTGATTTCTTACACAATTTGATCATAATATAATATATATTAATAAATTGTATTTATAAATACACATTAAAGTTAGATTAATAGCTTTAAAAACTAATTATTGTTATGTATTGTGATTGTGATATGCCACAACAAATAAATAGTCTGTAGAAAGCTGATAAGCTTTTATATAAGATAGATTATTTTGAACAAGAAATAATGGTGGGACGTTTTTACTATTAAAGCCCCAAAAGAGCTAAGTTTACAATTTAGAATCTCTCATTTTGTATTAAAATGTTTTCTTATGTATTTTAATGTGTTGCAGTAGTCTTAAAACTAAGCGTATTATTTATTGGTAATATAATAGTTTGACAAACAGTTGACATTTTGAAAATTCCTCACTTACTAACTAATCTGATGTTTTGGCAACGTTGTGGGGTGATGACGTAAATCTTGAATGACGTACAAGCTTTTTTATATGAAAAATGCTATATATGCTAAATATGTAATGTGTTATATTGTTGAGGCTTGGTAATAATATCTAAAATGCGACATTGTGCAATGGATTATGGCAAAATGTTAAGCACCAAAATATATTTCTAAATTTGCAGCGCAAATTGAACAAATGTGTAGGCTCCCTTGAAAAGCTAAAACAAAATAATATTTCAACTTAAATTTTATGTTAAAATAAAACAATAAGATTAAAATTTATTTTTAAAGGAAAAATTTTTGAACTTTACGCGATCCCTCTTCGGATGACAGTCACAACTTTTGTTTTTTTAAATTGAAAAGTACATAATGTGCCATCTTATTTAAAAGATTTTGAAATACTGATTTCAAAATTAAAGTTCTAGACAAAATTAACGCACCACTCATATTTTTCTTAATAATTTTTATTTATCGATAATTTACTGTACGACGAAAACGCCTATTGACCTATTTGCCTAAAGTTGCCTATTGACCTTTCTTGACAGTGACAGTTGTTATTTAAGCTAATAATAGCCTTGTTTTAACAATAATTTGTATTAAACTTCGTTTTAGACTAAAAGTGAGTTAAACTTTTTATAAAAAGTGCTGATTAAAGCAAAGTGCTTGTGGGAAACTTTTTTATTATGATATTTTTCATCAAATGCATGTCTTGAAGTTTATTTGCATAAAAATCAAATAAAAAAATGAACTGCCAAAGGAATTTGTCAATGGAGGAGGTAGTTTGAGCATTGACTCTCCTAGATGAAGGATATTCTAGGCGATACGTTGCAGTATTGTTAGGAAGACATCATTACAGCAAGGTGAAGCGATATAATGAAACAGGGTCGTACCATCGAAGACCAAGGCAAGGGCGAAAACGTTCCATTAATCAAATTGATGATCGTTTTTTGAGACAACGTGCTCTCAGAGATAGGAGAGTCACCAACAATTTGCTAAAAAATAAATTAGCAGATGTTCGAATTGTCGCGATATCGCCTCGAACAGTTAGAGGTTTTCAGAGATTCAACTTTGCAAGAAAGGATGGAAACGAGTTTTTTTTCCGATGAGACTAGAATAAGCCTAAAAGCTCCAGATGGTCGTGAGCGTGTCTGCCGAAGGCAAGGAGAAAGGTTTGCCAGTTGCAATATCTCTCCTAAAGTACCTAAAGTACACCACCTCTTGGTGGTGGCTCTAAAAGGTTTTGGGAGGAATTTGTTTTAAAGCTCGTACGAAGTTGGTTCCCATACGTCTATAAATACCCATTATTACGCTCGTCCTCATGTGGGTCGACAGATTATCAGTTACCTAAATGCTGTTGATATTCCATTATTAGAGTGACCACCTAACAGTCCGAACATGAATCCTATTGAGCATTTATGGGAGTATCTGAAAAAAGATTCGAAGTCATAGACCCCCTTTTGCCAATCACAACCAACTAGTTGAGGCTACTATTGAAGAATAAAAGAATATTCCGCAAGTTTTTGTTGAACATTTGCATGCCTTGACGCATAAATTCAGTCATAAAAAGTAGAGGAGGGCCTACACGGTATTAGTTTTGACCCAGGTGCATTTTATTATGTTACTTTAAGCTGATTTTTTTTTTTTTGTCAGTTTGGACTTATGCTAGATTATTTACACATTTCCGGCAAAACAAATTTTTAAAGAAACAATAAGGCAAATTAAGGTCATGATAAAGTCATGTTGGACTTATTTGTAGGTGTTTATTATTATTTCAGTGTAACTTAGTTTTACTTTGTGTTCATATTGTAAATATTTAGATTAATTAAAGTGGTGAGTTAATTTTGTCCAGGAGTTTAGTAATTCCTCTCATATAAAAATGTCAAGGTGACCTTGTATCACATACTGCAATATAATATATAGATTTTTAAATAATTTATTATAATAAAAAACTTTAACAATAATTTTTTGAATTGATGCATCATTGGTTAGAATGTTATTACTTAATTGGATATATTGTTTGAAAAATTATTAAAAAAGTTTCTGCAGTAGCGGGACGTAGGCGGTTTATATGGGTATCACATGCAACAGCTTAAACTTATTCGTAAACTACGTAGTTCGTAAGGTTTTATTATGCCATTTGCAATTTAGTGTGAAATTTTGCAATGGATTGTATATTTTATTTTGTGATATTGACGATTTATGTATTTTAGTAAATTTTAATTGGTATTGTACAATTTTCTGTGACAATAAAGCATATTTCCATTCTATTGTATTTTATCTTTTATAGGGATAAAATTTATTTCTCTTCAGATTCACTAAAATTATTTTCCGATCTACCTTACAAACGTAAGCAACAAATTTAGTAGAAGTAGATGGATTACCGACAAGCTCACTTAACACAGAAATCTGTTTGTCGGATAGACGTTTTCTTTCTATCCGTTTCTTATTTTAAACACTACTTAAAAATCGATCTATGTATAATAACGTTTTTCATCTTACATGCTGAAAATAAATAAGTTAATAGGGGTGAAGGTAACACTTATTCCAGCGCAAGAATTTCAATGTAAAATTTGTATTACAATAGTTAAGAGTACTTGCGAGTAAACAAGTTTATAATAGATACTCTCTACAAACTTTGGGTATCGCTTCGTTAGACTGACTGACACGACTTCCCTCGGTGACTTTTTTTGGTTTTAGGGTATTTTACCTCTAATTTTCCCCTCCGATAGGAAATCGGAAAACAAGTTCCGTCAAACAATATGAAAAGTTGTTTGTGCTGCCGTTCATGAAAGTATCCTGAAAAATCAGCTGGTTATCTATGAATTTCGTTATAGTCTTTTTCCGACTTGTTCCAGTCGTTAAATGCGTTGAATGGTCTATATTATAATTATCAGACAATTTTATTTTTGTATTAAACCATAACCTTTATAATATAATATTAGGTTATAATGATTTTTATGGTAGAAAAAACATAGTTTTATATCTGCGTGCGTTTTTGCGTTTTTATGTAAATATACAGGGTATTTCAATAAAAGGTAACCCCGTCTCTAGGGTAGGTGAAAAACTGAAAAATAATTGGGGTTTGCTTAGTAGAAAATGTTTGTAACGCCATCCGTTTTCAAGATTCAACGCGTTGAAGAAAAAAAATTTACGCATTTTTTACGATTTTGCCTAAACTACGTTATACACGGATCGTACCAAATATTAGTCAATATTATCAACTTTTTTAAGAGTATAATTATTAATCAAAATTTCAAGTAAACGTAAACATCATTTAATTTTGCCCAAAATAGCATCTGTTGGCCGTGCAAATTTTGCGATTTAGTATTATTTGGTAATATTATTTTCAGTATTACGTGGTCGTAGGATTTGTGGTTGCGTACTTATTTTCATGTACTACGTATACGCCTCTCGTAAAGCGTTTTCCGTTTTTCCAACAATATTGATATCATCACCATATGCAAAGATTTGTACTGATTGGCTATATAGTCCCAGAGAGTTTCTCTGCAGTCCCAGACAGTTCCTTCTGGATTCGTACTCTACACTTAACTTTTTCAAGACTTAGTTTTGTTTAAGATCCCAACTGATTTGGTACTCCTAGCTCTAAAAGGTACTCTTGGCAAAACTCGATACTGTGTACCGTTTTCGGAATATTTTGATTTGAAAATTCTGAAGTAATAATTGATGCTGGTAGTAATGATAAAGTTCTAATAGGTATACCTTTATTTTCTCCAAGTGTGCCATGGAAATCTGACATTTATTTATTGTTATGACGATAAATCAACAATAATTAGAGTTTTAAAACCTTGTTATTTATAAAATCAAATCAAAATGTACTAAATGTTGAATACATTGACATGTTATTAACCTTAGGCGAAGGTTTAGGATGTTCTAGTGCAGCTGTGACACGTTATGCAGAAAAGTTTCCTAAAACAAACTTACCATGTAAAAAAACATTTAATGCCGTTGAACGACGTTGTCGAGAAACTGAGAATGTGAGACCAAATAAAATAAATTCTGGTAGACCAAGAACAACAAGAACAATTAATAAAGAAAATAATATTTTAAATTTACTTGATCAAGATCCAACAGTAAGCGTAAGGAATGGAGCAAGACAAACAAATACTTCTTCTTCAAGTACTTGGCGGATACTGAAAGAACAGCAATTACATCCTTATCATTATAGACAAGTCCAAGAGCTCTTGCCAGATGATCTATCGGTTAGAGTGGATTTTTGTGAAACATTGCAACAAAGGACAGCCCACAATCCAAATTTTATAAAATGCATTATTTTTACGGACGAGGCCACCTTTACGCTTTAGGTATGTTTAACTCCCATAATGCACACTACTGGGTGAGAATCCACGAGTCAAAAGGGTATCACATTACCAACACTTATTTAGAGTTAATCTTTGGACAGCAACTTTAGGTAACAAATTAATAGGTTATCATATTCTACCTGGAAATTTAAATGGTGATATATATCTTGATATATTCTATACTACAAACAAGAAGCTACAGTACGAATTAACAGCTCGATATCAGATAGAATACAGATCAAAAGAGGTGTTCGGCAGGGCTGTGTGTTGTCTCCAACCTTGTTCAATGTCTACGCGGAAGAAGTTATTAAAAAAGCTCTTATGAACGAAAAAGCCGGAATAAAGATCAACGGTCACCCCATTTGCAATATCCGATATGCTGATGATACCGCGCTCATAGCAGAAAATATTGAAGACCTACAGAGATAACTAAACAAAGTGGTAGAAGCAAGTGAAGAATTTGGTCTGTCACTGAATACAAAGAAGACCAAATTCATGATAATTACAAAGAAACGTATCAATAATATCAACTTACAGGTAGGACAGAATCTCATTGAACGAGTACAAAATTACAATTACCTCGGAACAAATATTAACGAGTCAAACGAATACACCAGAGAAATAAGAATTAGAATAGAGAAAGCCCGCAGTGCCTTTAACAATATGAAACAAATGTTGTGTAGCCGTAACCTAAGCCTAAAGCTGAAAATACGAATGCTTAAATGTTATGTTTTCTCGGTCCTGTTGTATGGGGTGGAGGCGTGGACACTAAATAAGCAATGTATGGGTAAGCTGGAGGCATTTGAGATGTGGGCGTACCGAAGAATGTTAAAAATCTCCTGGAAGGATAAGATAACTAACCAAGTTGTATTAGACAGGATGAACAAACAAAAGGAGGTCGTATTGAGTGTTAAAATGAGGAAACTACAATACCTGGGACATATTACACGTGGGAATAAATATCAACTGTTACAACTAATTATGCAAGGAAAGATTGAAGGTAGGCGCAGCATAGGTAGGAGAAGAATGTCGTGGTTGAGAAACCTCAGGGAGTGGTTTGCTTGCACTTCCATACAATTGTTCCGAGCGGCAGCCTCCGGGGTCAAAATTGCCATGATGATAGCCAACCTTCGTAGCGGAGATGGCACGTGAAGAAGAAGATATATCTTGATTTTTTAAACAATTCCTTATTCGAGATATTAGAAGATTTAACGCTAAACGAGCGAAGATCTTTATTCTTTATGCACGATGAAGCTCCACCACACTTTGATAAAAGGTGTCGTAATTAGTTGAGTAATCATTTGCCGAATCGATGGATTGGTAGAAGTGGAGAAGCTCCGATTCATTGGCCTCCTCAGTCATGCGATTTTAACCCTTTGGACTACACAGTTTGGTCGTTATATTTGGGAAAAAGTCTATGCTAAAGAGGTAAATTCACGCCAAGAATTGGAAGAAAGAAATCAACGTCAATTTATTGACATAATAGCTGATCTCCTACAGTTTAGAAGGTTATTGGAATCTTTAGAAAAAAGGATAGACTTGTGTATTCGCAAAACGGAGGGTATTTTGAACACTTACTGTAATTGAATTTTATTTTATGTTCTTAGTCATTAATTTAATTTTCTTTTTGTGAGTTTTGTTTAATTACTAACTATTTTATACCAGTATCAATTATTACTTCATAATTTTCGAATCAAAATATTCCGAAAACGGTACAGAATATCAAATTTTACCAAGACTACCTTTTTCGTGTAAAATTGAATGATGATTAAGTTTACTTAAAATTTGGATTAATAATTATACTCTTAAAAAAGTTATATTGACTATTACTTAGCACGATCAGATAGACATCATAGATGTATCAGCTTCCAAAACATATTCTTATAAAATTTCATTACAATGTTGCTAGTAGTTTCGGCAAAATCGTTAAAAATGCGTAATTTTTTTCTTCAATTGTATCTTGAAAACAGATGGCGTTACAAAAATTTTTTACTAAGCAAACCCGAATTATTTTTCAGTTTTTTACCTACCCTAGAGACGGGGTTACCTTTTTTTAAAAACACCCCGTATTGACTAGTTACAATATTTCTACTATTTAAATAAATTTAAACTTACCCCAATGCATATATTCCTAGACATTATTGTTATGCCTCCAATCTCAATTCCCACCTCTTTGTGACATCTTATTAATAGAATAGTTAAGATTTTTTTAAATTTCTTTGATTTATCGTACCATTTGATATCATAAATTGCCTCTGCTAAGTCGTAACTCTTAAAAAATAATTACTAAATTATTTCGATAACAATAAAATAGTAAAAGAGCAATTTTTTTATTAAAAAGAAAAATTGCCGCATCCACCAACAGGTTATTAGCGGCGTTACTTAGTAAACAAAACTTTAAATCTGATACAAAATATTGATAGACCTTGGGTAATTTAATAAGTTTTTTACGTGACAGTTTTCTCCTAATAAATCTGGTAGAGTATTTGGTATATTGTTTATTGAACGTTCTCTATGGTATTTTGGACACTCAATTAAATGGACAATTACCAAAAGAACTGGTGTAATGACTGATTTTTTCGTAAACACTATACCAGTTGTTTTTGTCACGGGGAATTAGAAGCCTGTACTAGCAGTACATTCATCTAGTTGGGTTAAAAATGTCTGTACTATTCTGCACATACAGATTGAACCAAATTAAAACGGAACATACAATTTAATACATGTCTGTTTGAACTGCATTTGAAATAGTGGACCAATATAAAACTTGGACAAAAATAAATCCATACCTGGGTATAGACATTGTATAAAATATCGTTCAACTATCTGTCTCACAACAATGTTGTTTGCGTAAGACGGGTTTGTCTAAGGAAACGATAATAGTTCAGGAAATTAATCTCGAAAAAAGTTAAAACCTCGCAATTTTTTCGTCCTGCATGTATCCAGTTCAAATTTTAACAGAAGGTAGGCGATAGCCCAAGGATCAAAATCTATATCGAACCGAAGTGCGCTGAATGGTTTAGGGGTGAAAACTACCCCTAATTGTCAAAAATTATAAAATAACATATTAAACCTGAATATGGGAAAGATTTGGTTTGAATTAGTTAAATAATGATTATTTTATACTTTTGAATAGAGTTCCATCATATTTCAACCTTAAAAAGCAACCCTTGTTAGAGGTTAATGTAAAAAAAATACTAATTCTAAAAAAATGATTTCGCCTTGGATCGATTTGGATAAAATTTGGATTTAAGCTCAATTTACCCGCTGCTTTATAGTTTATGTCATGTCGACGAACCCTGAATGTTCTTAGGGATGAAAAACTACCCCTTATTTTCAAAATTGTAAAATAATATTATAAATCTTAAGATGAGTGAAATTTGGTTTGGATTAGTTAAATATTGATTTTTTTATACTTTAAAATACAAATTCATACATTTTCAACCCTTAAAAATCAATTGTTATGAGTGCTATAGGTGAAAACAATTTTTTGCCAAAATTTTGCAACTTTTCAACTTTTGAAAATCAACCTTTACAACATTGCAGTTTTTATAAACTAATTTATAAGATATAAATTGAAAAAAGTAGAATTAAATACAAAAAAATTTATCAACATAAAAAGGCACCATATATTCTTATACATTTACATAAATAGTAGAAAATATTTACATTTACAGGTAAAACAATTATAATATTAATTTTATTCGTCATTAATTACATCTTCATCGTGATCTATGTCATCCTCATCTTCAATTATTGGTGGACTATTATTGCACCCTTCACCTGAGCACCCAGAACAAGTAGAGTTACAGTATAAACCAACTTTTCTGCACCCACATGAAACACCGCATCCTTTTTTGCATTGCCAAAAAATAATTTTCAAAAGTTCATCGAGTGCAGCTTGTTTGTTCATGCGTACGGGTAATAACAAACCATCTTTGGAATACCATCCCCAATCTGTTGGTCTAATATTTTCATTGCCAAGCCATAGACATATGAGCAGATGTTTTATTCTGTTATATGGGATGTCAAAATAAGAACGCTTAAAATTTCGAATGTATAACGCCCCACTAGCTAATATACCGGTTTTGTAGATTATTATGCTCCGAAATGTACTGTACTATACTAATAGAATTTTCCGGAAAAAAATTCACTGGTTTTTTTAACATATTTCTTTTAATTTTTAACAATAGAGTGTTTCTTCAAAAACGATTTGTAGAGGTTTTTAAGAGCTACAAGGATCTGTGAATTAAATCTTTTTGGAATCCTTGGTTTTTAAATGGGGTGAGTTTAAAGGGCTCGAAAAAGATGGTGCTTGATCGTAAATCGATGCTTTTAACGGCTATATCTCGCCAAATATTCATTGTACAACAAATCTAAATGAAGGATAATTTTAGTCATTAAAAAAGCTACAATTTGGTAATTTGTATTATTTTTATATATTCAGTATTTTCGGGCATATTTAAAAAAAGAAGGGTAAAAAATCTGAAATTGTAAATCGTTTCTCGCTTTAAGCTGTACTTTTTCTAACACAAAGCATTTTAAATGGGTCAAACTTCTTGGACGTATTAACAATACATGTACAAAGGGAATTTCAGAAGGGTAAAGATCGATTTTAATTATGGAGGAGGTTAGGGTGTTGTTTCGATTTTTTCGTAAAAAATGAGGTATTGACCTTATTTTTCTCATAACTCACTCAATTTTTGAGCTAGAGTCTTTTTTATGATAGGTCTATTTATGCTCTTTAAAAAAGGTTTTGTAAGTTTTCTTCCAAAAATGCATCATTTTCCCGATATTTGATTTTGAATCTTTCAAATTTGGCATTTGAAGAAAACCGCTGAACATTGATAGGCCGTATTTGGGCTCCTATTATATCCCAAAAACATTTTAAAAAATGAATTGTATTTGTCTTTTTAAAAGCTACAAATTTGTTCTCTACAATTTTTTTGATAAAATGCACCATTTTCGAATTATTCGCGAAAAATCGATTAAAAACGTGGATGTTTTCGTCTAAAAGATATTACTTTCAATCGCGGATAACTTGAAAAATATCATTTTATAAAAAAAATGTATAGCACATTTGTTGTTTAGAATCACATTTTTAATCGAAACCTGTAGTTAAAACGTAAAAAAAATTTTCACCCCGGAGATGGGGTGGCAACCACCCCTAGGCTTTGGCGCACTATGGTTCGATATAGATTTTGATCCTTAGGCTATTACCTACCTTCTGTTAAATTTCAAGTCAATCCAGGGAGCACGAAAAATTGCGAGCTGAAATGCTTCATTTCCTGGACTATAACTGGTTTGACAGCATAAATCGTAGATTTATGTGTAGCTTTCAATTTTTATGAGTTCAGAATCCAGCAGCCCGCTGAACTATTGGATTTTTATAATATAATTATTTGACAATATTTTGTTGGCGAACCACCTACAGCAGAATTGAGCCGAAATACATTATATTCCTATGTTCCGAATTTATTTCGTTCAATCTGTAGATTCTTTTGTGCTCCTTTAATGTACACCACTAAATCGTGGGCATACATACAGGCGAGGTTTGAGAGGTTTATGTAATTTGTTTAATATGTAGTTTATGGTAACTAGGAATAGGGTAGGACTAAGTACTGAGCCTTGTGGGATACCCTTTTCTGCAGTATAAAAATCGGAATAAACGGTATTAACTCTTACTTGGAAAAAAAAGTATTTTAAGATATTTTCGATATAGGCTAAGCAGTGTCCTCTATATTGGATGCGTGTAAATTTTTAATAGTTTTGAATCTTCAACACGTATTGAAAGCTTTCTTTAAATCGAAGAAAATATCTATGCACATTTGATTCATTGCTAACGCTTCTTGGGCATCACTTTGTAATGTCATTGATGGTCTTTAAGATCAGCTTCGATATCATCATAGAATAGATCCGCTTCTTCTTCATCATGGTCTGTTGTTGGTACATTAACCTGTATTATTTTCATATTATACCTTGTATTTAATTTGAGAGTAAGACAAATCACTCTTGTGGAAAATTTCTTTAGTGATACTATACTTGTTTGGAGATGCTTGTGTATAATAAAGCTCATTCTTCCTAAGGAATTATGATCTTCACCTACGTGGTAAAAACTTTGTCCTGATTTTACTCTATATCCCAGTAAAAGACTATATCCCACTAAAAGATCAAAAGGAAGACGCAAAAAGATCAGTAGAAAGACGCCAGAACTCATGGCTGAAAGACCTAAGGAGATGGTTTGACCACTTATACGCAGAAATCTTTCGCACAGCAGTTTCCAAAACCACAATTGCCATTTGGATCGCCAACCTTTGAAAGGAGACGGCGCCATGCGAAGAAGAAGATATCCCACTTTATATGTTCTAGTTCGCACTCAATTTTAGTAAGTATTTCATCAGATAGTGGGGAACGTGCAATATATGTTCCTATATAAAGTATTGTCTTATTCGGGTAACTTTTTCCTGTTTTTGTCAATTTTTTGTCGTCCCCAGAATCCATGGGAGAGACTGATAATTTACCAGTTCAAGATTCTGGAAATACTTTCCTACTTGCCTGGGGTATTTGCGTGTTTTTAACTGACATTTTCTTAAGGGGTATTTAGCCTTTAAACACCACGCTTTTCAGACGTATTGATGAGTGTTTGTTTCAGCCGCTCATTCTGGGTCCGACGCTGTTTGCGGTCGCCAACTCTGGATCAGACGCTGCGGGTTGTGATCTTATACTATTCCTAAAATCAAGGGTTGCCAACTCCGCCATCTTCGCCGTACCGAAAGTATGTCTTCGTCGCCTTGGATGTCGTTTTAAACTTCATCCATGACCCTGGACAAGAAACTCTTAGCAGGTGCTAGCTTCCCAGGTCAAGAAGCTCCTGGGCAGAGATTGATTCACTTTCCCTGATGAGACTATCCAATAGAATTCCAAATATTCTAAAAGAGTTCCCACTACCCGCAGGATGTGAATAGGATGTATATAGGAGAAATATATCTCAAGTTAGTGCCGATCTGATAAAGAAGAGCTTTGTCAGATCGGCACATGTCAGATTGTCTTAGTAAAAATTCTTACGTCCAACTAATTCAAACCCACCTACTTCTAATTCTTACGCTCAGGGAATTGACGTTTTTACCAATGTACCAATTAAGCATTTACATTATACGTTGCAGTTTTTTTTAACGTAAAGTGTACAAAACTAGATATTTCCTTTATTTATAGATTACACCAAAATTTTAAATGAAACAAATATATATCATCCCTCATATTGAACATAACAATAAGTCTAATTAGTACGATCACACTGAAATCAACGGCTTCCAATTAAAAAAACTCAAATTATTTTATATCTTAATTATATCTTACCTCTGATGTTATGTCATCACCGTACCAGTAATAGATAGCTACATTTCCAGCCGTTAGTGCTAAGAAGACCAGTCCTAAAGCCGGTAATAAAAAATTGTCTCTTTTCTGAAAAAGTATTAATCTATAATTTAAGTAATACTCTCAAGAATATTAATTTTTACTATAGACAATAAACAGACAAATTATGCTTAAAATTTTAAACTTCTTAAGCTCGATAGACACTCGCATATATGCTCGCACTTTGGTCCCGCCAGAGAGTAAGGAATGGTTGCTCTCGAAAAATGTTTTCTATCTTTAACAAAGGGTAATTCTACTACAACTGCAGTACAGATTATTATTATTTTTTTTTTATTAGAAAAAGACGTCGCATCCACCAAAAGGTTATAAGCGACGGAACAAAATATAAAAAACAAAGTTAAACACCTACAGATTGTACAAAATGTTTATGGATCTAAGATAATTCACTATATTGTTACAGGAACAGTTTTGACCTAGAGCCTGTAGTAGAGAGTTTGGGATCTTGTAGCACTGTCTTTCTTGATCATATTTACTAAAAATTGTTAAAAAATGTTCGACTGTTAATCGGACGTTACACTGATTACATTGTACGAATAAGGAGCTCGCCTTAGCGAAGTTTGCTGGTTTGGAGAAAGATTTTTCTTATCGCACAAAGCTTCTGAGATACTCCTTAACTTCGAAGGACCAGCTGGAGAATCCAGCACCTGAAAGGTTGTTCCCTTGACAAGGGATAGGTGTAAATATTAAATATGTAAAGCCTTAACGTATCTTTATTGCAAGAAGAAAATAGCCTACTAGTAGAAATACATTATAGTTTGATAAGTAAATTTATGTATAATGTAAATAAATCGTTGTTAAAATGTTAAAATTGGTGGATCACAAATCGTTTATGCACTCGCGGCACGATATGGCAACACCGCGACTTGGAACAATTGCAAAGTTGAGATTAAATATAAGTTTTCTACTTACAATAAGGCACAGCATCTAACTCGTTACCATGCACTCACTGCCAACAATACTGGCCACAAAAACTAGATAATTGGAAAATAAGGAAATAATGAATAAATGAATAAATGAATTTGACGGGTCGCAAGCGCTTGCTTGTTCGATCTTTTCTTAAGACGGTTGCTTGGCGACTATATGGTTTTTAGAAACTCGTTGGTCTTGCTAACAGTTCAGGACCGAGAACGGACTGGTTTTTGGGACTAGTCCAAGTTTAGATATAAGGGGAGTTTTGTTATGAAAATCTAAGATTTTTACAATGTACAAATTTATGGTAAATTTGTACACACATATAGGTGGATTTTTCTTTGTGAATAGGTAGGAGTACGTTAATCTGGTAGGTCCTAGGCGTAAACGCTTAACCGCAATTTGTTCTCGTCTATTGAGCGACGATGGAAACCACTGAGACATTATTTTTGATTTTACAGTAGTCTCTCTCTATAACGATTCCCTATATAACGATAATTCCTCTATAACGATGAAAATAGTAAACGTTGGTTGGTTCGTCATAAGAACAATGTATTAATTCTTTCTCTATACCGATATCGTTCTCTCTTTATAGCGATAACTTTTTTAGCGTTCAATAGTTGATGACAAATGTGTTATTGTATTTAAAGTTCAGACTACCTGAGTCACGAATGAAAAGGTCATTGTTCAGCGGTTGTTTTGTTTTGCGTTTAAGGAATGCGGCATACACTCTTTCTTATCAGAGGGTTAAGTGACGTTTATTGTTCGGGCGGCGTAATTAACTGTTATCACACAGATGTTGTCATCTATTGACGACTTTTAATTTCCAGTTTGAGTTGCGTCTTAGTGTGCCAACAGTCAACATGTTTTCAAAAAAGCGTAAAGTGCTCTCGGTGGAGGAAAAACTATCGATAACTCGAGCAATAGAGAAAGGTGAAAAGCAATCGGATGTCGTTCGCCGGACGGGGCTGTCTCAGTCAACTGTGGCTACGATATGGAAGGACAGAAAAAAGTGGCTTAAAGCGGAGATGGAGGGCGGTAGCAGGAAGAAGTTGCGGAAACCTCAGCACGAAGATTTAGATCGCGCTATGCTTCAGTGGTTCCAGCAGCAGCGTATGAACCATATTCCACTTTCTGGGCCTGTGGTCAGGACAAAAGCTGAATTTTTTGCAACTGAACTTGGAATTGAGAATTTTAAGGCATCTGAGGGTTGGCTGAGCAAGTGGAAGATGCGGCACAAGATCAACTACGGCCAAATCAGCGGAGAGGCTCGCGATGTTAACAAAAACGTAACGGATCATTGGCTAGAAAACGTGTGGCCTGGACTGAAGGCACGATATGCGTCAGACGACATTTTCAATGCGGATGAGACTGGATTGTTTTTTAAAATGACACCCAACAGAACTTTAAAATTTAAATTGGAAAAGTGCGTTGGTGGAAAGCTCTCTAAGGAACGCATTACAGTTTTAGTAGCCGCTAACATGACAGGTTCGGTGAAGCGAAAATTGTTAGTGATAGGGAAGTCGAAAAACCCGCGTTGCTTTAAAAACATAAAAAATCTACCGGTGACATATAAAGCAAACAAGAGTGCGTGGATGACCTCGGAAATTTTTGAAGAAGCGATAAGAAAGTGGGATATCGAGCTTAAAGGGAAAAAAATTCTTTTGCTTGTAGACAATTGTCCTGCTCATCCTGTATTGCACGACCTTCAAAACATCGAACTCTGTTTTCTGCCAGCAAACACAACGAGTGTCCTTCAGCCCATGGACCAAAGTGTCATCAAGAGTTTAAAAAACCATTACAGGAGAAGACTTTTGATGGAATTGGTTGAGAATAATGGCGATCTTAAACTAAACATTCTTGACGCCATCCTAATGATTAGTAAATCCTGGGACGAGGTGACGAGTAATACAATACAACATTCCTTCAAACACGCAGGATGGCTGGAAGATCAAGGATTGGCTTATGATGAAGATGACCTGCCATTAGATGTTTGGGCCAGACAGTTTGAATTTACTATCACCTACGGACCGGAAGAGCTAACAGATTTTGAAGAAGTTGATAAAAATGTAGCTACAACATCTGGACTTTCTGACGAGGACATCCTGCAAGCAGTTCGTGTAGAAGAAGAAGAAAACAGTGACTCTGAAGTGGAAGCAGAGTCAGAACCAGCTCCGACCCCTCAGCAGGCATTGGATGCGGCAAAAGTACTGCATCGATTTTTCATCCACCAGGAAGACGATATGAGTGCTGTAGAAGATTCGATGCGTCTTCAGGACAAGGTCAGGTCAGTTCTGTGGAAAGGGAAAAGAAGACAGACCAAGGTGACAGATTTTTTTGATAATGTAGGCTAAATATATTTTACAGTAGCATTTTATTTTTTTATTGTACAGTACACATGTTTTAATTGCACAGTCATTTTTTATACTGTATTGCTTATATTATTCGTTAATAAATCTATGTGGAATACAATGTTAAGTCATTTATATTCGTTTTGATAATTTTTTTAAATTAAAATAGGTTATTTAGTACAGTATTATTAATATTACAGTACCGAATTTTGTCTCTCTCTGTATAACGATCTCTCCTTATAACGATGAAAATTCCCGGTCCCTTGCATATCGTTATAGAGAGAGAGGACTGTATTTAGATTGGAATTAGTTTGAGACCACTTATTTTGCCACAAACACCACACTTTATTTTTAAAATAAGCTTCTAAGTCATTGGAAACACACTTGTCTATCGGCTTTGACAATCACTTAAAATTGCCTCTCGTGTAGTCCTGTCAGCTTCTTCATTTCCTGTTATTCCGACGTGTGAGGGAACCCATAAAAATTGGACGGTTCTTCCATGTTCATAAGAAACAATATTATCTGGAGAGTATTTAGATAAAAGAAGCTGTAGCATAGGGAGACGATGAAAATATCCATCATTGTTCCATTGAAGTATCGAGTTGAATGTTGTTAACAGATTCGGAGTTAGATGATACTAAACAATTGTCTACAGAAGAGTCACTATCTAAGTCAGAAAGCTTCTTCTCTAAATGGTTGTGTAGTTTCTTTTGAAGTTTTGTAAACTTGCTTTTTGTAGATCTATCATTTGCATATTAATAGCTGCTTTGTAAAATATGGAGTAAACCATCCATATCAGTTGTAAATTCTTTGAGGACGCTAATAGTGTCGGAGGAGCCTTGGACATTATCAATCAGTTAGAACAATTGGTGGTAATTTAAAACGAATGGTGGGGTATGATTATCAATGAAATTTTCAAGAGTTTCTCGTGTAGATGGAACTTTAGATGAGCGCGGTTTTTTTGGTTTAGAGGGTTTGAGTTTTGCAGACAGATTTTCTGATGAAATTACTGATTCAGAAGGAGGCGCGACGATCTCACCAATACTGCGTTTTATGGAAGAACTGGCATTTTCGTAATTGCTATTAGAGTTTTCACTTAGATGTGGCTTTATTACATTTGGAAGTACTGGAGCAAACTCATTGGTAATGACAGAACTCGAGCTTGAAGTTTTATTTGTAAGATTGGTTGAAATAGTTGTTTCAGAAAATTGTCTTGATGTATCAGTTTTATTAGAATTTTCTGCAGTTGTATCTAATGAAAAAGAAGCTGATAGATTGGAGGATATTGCTTCCGAAGTTTGTGAAAACGGTATTGCTACTGAATGAGGTTGATTGAAAGTGTTGTTATCAGTAGGAGTGTTAGTAATTTCTTTGTCATGGAGGTTTGTAGGTGGAGGTGATATGCTTGGATTTGATAATGGATAACTTGATGACTGCTGGGTGTTTGGTACCTTGTGTAGTATACTAGTTGAAGCTGTTTGATTTGGTACTTTATTGTTTGACTCAATATGATTTGATTCCGTTACTGAACTGTTATTGCATTGGGATGATATGTGTCCTGTATTTTTGCAAATAAAGCAGGTAAGTGTACCTTGTGACAAAAATATGCGGTAAGGTGTTTGATCGAAATTTATTAGAATAGAATCTGGAATTGGTGATGTTATAGGGCTTATATAAACTTGACTCCGAAAGCTCAATATGTGACTATATTCGGGGAGAGTCGAGCTTATTTTCAGAAATGATATTGGGAAAATAAGCTTTAAACAAATTTTTACAAAATGATTGTACGGTAGTATATATTTATTATTGACGTTTTCTTTTCACACTAATAAAATGATAATTACGTATAGATAACTTACGTAGTAGTATCTAGTAGATAAACACTTTAAATTTGAAAAAACTATTTAATGTAACCACTTGTTTTTATTAAAAACTAGGAGTACGATATCAGTACAACTTAACCATACCTTGCCAGGGCCGGTCCTCCAGTACAGATTATTATTAGGTTTCATTTTGTACTTCTGTATGAGATATTACCCATACCAAGAGATTCACTATTTGCTAATTTAAAGCATTGTTTAAGATCCCGTAGGTGAAATACCGATAACAAAAAGGAAGTGTCTTTTTAAGTATAGTTATTTGGTGGGTAACATCATTTTCTATTCATGGGCGGAGGAAGATTAACGCAAAATTCACTTATCCAGTCATCTTCAGGATTTATTGGCCTGTTTGTTTGTTTAAGACTTTGATATCAGTTTACTTTAGTCCACATTTCTTTAATTTTAATTTAGATTTTGACTGTAAATCCAGATTGTCTTTTTCGCTTCTTTAAAATTTATATTTATTTTGCGTTTATTAGGAGGTGTGTTTAAAAAATACCCGTAATTTTAAATTTCGGGGGTTTTAGAGAGTCCAATCCTAAAATTTCTTTATTATGTTGGTATATATGATCGTAAAATATAAAAAAATGTAGCTATATTTATTTTCTGTGACAGTTGCTAAGGTTCGACTGTTTTTTTGAGCTCAGCGATTTTCATATAATTTAAAAAAATGGATCAAAGAATTAGTATTAAATTTTGCGTGAAAAATGAAATAAAGTTTAACAAAATAAAATGTTATCAAAGGCCCATGATAAACATATTACGAAAAAACAAGTGTTCACGAGTGGTATAAGCATTTCCAAGATAGCCGTAAAGACGTTGAAGACGATGACCGTCGCGGACACCCCAGCATATCAAGAACCGATGATAACGTAAAAAACGTGACAGAACTGGTGATGGACGACCGCCAAATTACAATAAGAGAAGTCGCCGATAAAGTTGTCATATGAATTGGCTCACTCCATGACATTTTTTTAAACATTTTATAGATGGAATTGCTCAGAAGTCACTAAATGAAGTAAGCGTCGACCCAGATTTATTCTAAGGGTTATAACAGGAAACGAAACATGGGTTTATGGATATGACGTCGAAACTAAGGTTTAATCTTCCCAGTGGAGGCATTCTGTTTCGCCGAAAAAGGCTCTACGAGTGCAGTCGAACGTAAGCTGGATTTGTAGTTTGACGGACTGTAGACGCAGACGCACTGGAAAAAGATCAACATAGACTTTTGTGTACTCTTATTTATAAACGAACGTAAACGCATGATGGGACGTAAGCGAAACGCACTATAACGGAAGAGATGGTCAACTTTCATCTTTTACAGTGCGTTACTTGCGTCTGGCCAATCAAAAAAAGGAATTTTGTGCTGTCAACCAAAGTGAACTGTCTGACCCGCCCACCATTTTGTAAAGTTACTTATCAACATATTCGAATTTCGATTTTGTTGATTATTTGTTACAATGGACGTTAAGAATTTATAAAATAATAATAATAAATAATAAAGGGATATTATAGTATCATAGTCATTGGTCTAGAAACTGTTTCTACCCATGCGCAAAAATTCCACTCCGTCGATTTATAAATTGAAATAATACTTATAGTCCGTTTGTTACGTCTTCAGTGCGTCTACGTCTACAGTCCGTGAAATTATAAATCCAGCTTAAGGTCGATTCAGACACATCAGTCCCGTCACAGTCTCGGACCCGAACCGGTCCTGTTTGGTCACAGAACTATTAATTATCTGACAGCTGGGAAACTGTTCGTCGCCTGATGAATGTGCTGTGCATGCCGGCGCCATATTTCTATTAGAGAATATTTTGTATGACGGATTGTTCGGTTCGGCGCCAGGACTGTGACGAGACGTGACTGATGTGTCTGAATCGACCTTTAAAGGTTATGATAGTGTAACATGCATTTTTGATTTGTAGAAAAACAACTCATGGCTTTTGCATGACCATAATAGACTAGCTTCATTGCCTGTCCGTAAATTTTTGGACAAAAACAATACTGTAAGGATGCATCAGATATCATACATTTCAGACATAAAAATAACTGCTTTAGCATAAAAATTTGATCGGTTGTTGATCTTCGTTTCTAAAATCCTCCCTGGTATTCTCCTAGATTCTTCTCAATATATATTTCTAATCGTTTTTTAATTAGTATGGCGAGTACTTTATATATTACCTTTAATAAGGATATTCCTATATAGTTTGCGCATTCAGTTCTATCTCCCTTTTTGAGTATAGGAATTAGAATCGACTTACTCCATTCTTGAGCCATTTCTTCGGCATCCCATACTTCTAGTATTAGCTCACCTAGTTTGTTTATTAAGGCCTCTCCTCCATATTTTATGTTCTCTGCCACAATGCCGCTCTCCCCGGGGCTTTTGATTTTTCATACCTTTTATTATGTCTTCTTTTGTAGGCTTTGGTATTCCTTCTATTACTATTTAAGGTTTAGGAACATATAAATTTTCGTCAGTAGACACTTTGTCATTTAGAAATAGTCTTTCCAACTATAACAATATTTGGTCTTCGTCCACTATCAGGTTTCCTTGCTTATCTTTTACATTCATCGTTCTTCTGTGGTATCCAGTTTTATGTATGTATTTTACCTCTTTATAAAAATTGTTAATTTCATTTTTTTTAGTAGTTTTTTTCAATGAGCTTTATTTTATCATCCATATACTTTCGTTTCCGCTCCCTTAGGTTTCTCTTTACTCTTTTTCTTTGTTTGGCATACCTGTCTAGGCATCTTGTTTTTGCGATCGTAAACTTTTTAATGTCAAATCAGAATTTTTTTAAACTCTGTTTTACATTCGTCATCGAACCAGTCATTTTTTCTAAATCTTTTTGTTCTTGGTATGTTCTTCGAGGTAGCTTCCTTTATAGTGTTTGTCATTTTTAAGAATTTTTGTTGTATGTTACTCATAGCAGTACTATCTTGTTTAGCGTAGGTTTCTTGTATATCCTTTAGATAATCCTGCGATACCTAAAATTTTCGCAGTTTTTCAAAGTTAAATTTACATTGCACTTTCTTTTACTACATTTGTTATTAAATTGGCGAACTTCTCTTGTATTAAGATGACATGTGGTCTATTTGATTTTTGTTTCATTTGCTCCCAGAATTTTCCACGTTCCTTTATATATTTTTTTTCTCCTAAAATGGGTACTCATTATCCTCATCCTGTATTTAATTGCGAATGTAATCAATCTTTGTCCATTATCATTTGTATTCAAATGTTTACTTTCAAACGTCTATAACACATTTTCAGGAATATTCGATGGTTGTCCAAAAATGGCGCAGTCCATAGCACATCTTGTTTTTATTCCCGACGGTCCTGGCTTATCCGTTTTAAAAAATCTTTAGTTTACAAACAACAATAATATCAAAGTAATGCACCACAACAAACAAGCGAAAATTACATTCACGGACTGTGTGGCACAGATGCTAGCCGCTTACTGATAATTAAGGGAATCGGGCAGTTTTGAGCCCGATCTATACGGATCTTTGTTTCATTGGTACTATTCGCTGCAAGATAATTCAGATGGAATTCCCCAGATTAAGAGACTGGGTCGATAAATAGCAAATAGTAGAAATAGACATTTTGCGGTAATTTTCAATGGGGTTGGGGACACCTAATAAACAAATAAAATTTTAAATATCGTTTAAATGTGTAATTTACAACATTTTAAGTTTTATGTAATTGATATTAGATCGAGTTAGCATTTATTTTAATCCAAATAATATAAATTGAAATTCCCATAAAAATCAGCTATTTAATTAAGTTCAAGGCCGGTGGGGGCAGAAAATTTATTTAAAAAAATAAATAAAAATACTCATATGCCAAAAAATAACACTAGCAACTTTTTCACACTATTAGATACAACATTTCCAACTTTTAATTTTTCAATGCCTCCTAGTGAATAAACCTATTAAGTTAGTTTAATTGAATGTTCCTTACCAGTTCATATAAGTTATACATAATTAATACTCCTATCTGAAAAGAGGTTTGAAAAAAATCTATCAGCACCAAGTTTCTCATACAGTCATTGAAGTCATTGATAAAACTAAAATAAAAAAATATTATATAATAGGTATGTGTATACCATCGAGCAAAAAGACAAAAGAGGGAATCTAATCGTTATGAAAAGGAGACCAAAAAAGTGGCCTCTGATGGCGGACATATCCGGAAATGCAAAGGCGCAAAATTTAAATTTTCCGATACTTATTAACAATAGATATAAAATGTTTTTCAGACGAGAAAGTTTTAGTTAAATATTAACGATAATAGTCTAAAAAGTGACACAATTGGTAAAAAACTTCAATATAAATAAAATTTCATGTGACAGTTGGGACAAACAATAACATTAGCCAAACTAAATTTGATTTCTTAAACAAGGAAAGAGACTGTCTTTCCTTGTTTAAAGTGGTCTCTCAAGATAGCATTTCCTGTCTAATAATATTTTTGTCCCCACTACCTTTACATTCCCTCTTTTGTCTTTTTGCTCGATGGTGTATACATATAGAGCTAAAAATGTGGTAGAGTAACCGTAATATCTACATGCAGCAATTCCAAATACTAGAGGCTATACAATAGGAGGCTATACAATAGTAGAAAAAACCACAGAATATAATGTACCTTTACATATGGCATTTATCGACTTTCACAAGGCTTTCGGTAGTATTGAGACTTGGTCCTTTTTGTCAGCCCTGAAGGATGCTCGAATAGACTCACGGTACACTACACTCATTAAAAACATTTATGAATAGGCCACATTCCACATCAAAATCAATGAAGACGAAAAAACTGAAAAAAATGCGCCTTGATAAAGGTATTAGACAAGGTGATACTATTTCACCAAAGCTTTTTACCTTAGCATTGGAAAATGTATTCAAACAGCTTGACTGGGAGGAAAAAGGTCTAAACATTGATGGTGTACGTTTGAGTCATTTGAGGTTTGCGGATGACATAGTATTATTTAGTACAGATATCAAGGAACTGGAGCAAATGTTGAAGGAATTAAACCAGCAGTCAAATAAAATAGGTCTCAAAATGAACCTTCAGAAAACAAAAATACCATTAAAATCGGCAACGAAAATCAAATAGCCGAAATAAAAGACGCATACAACTGTCTTGGGGAACTTTCGGCAAATTAAGCTTTATTTTGAAGAATAAAGATATACCAATGTGTCTAAAACGTAGAGTTTATGGCAAATGTATCTTGCCTGTAACTACATATGGACTGGAGACCATGGCCTTCACAAAGAAAAACTTAGAGCAGCTCAGTACAACCCAAAGAGCAATGGAGAGGGCCATGCTAGGGATTAGTTTGAGAGACAGGATTCGAAATAACGTCATCTGTCAAGATGGCGCTGTAAGTGTAGGTTGTGTTAAGTTGGCTCCTATATACAATTGTGAAAAATAGTGATAATTGTTTGTTAATAGTTAAAATTCATCATATTTATTGTTCATTAAGTCACAATGAATGAAAATTTAAGAAAAAACCCGTCGACAACAGAAGCCCAATACGTCGGATCCGGAACATCTTGAAAGTCAGGTTAAGCAGCTAGAAACCGACGTGAAAGGTGGCCTTGAGGAGATCAAATCGCTTATTGATCAAAATGCGGAAGCGGGATCTACATCTAATCCCAACAATAATAATCTCTTGGACAGAATTAAAGTGCTCGAAGAGAATTTTCAAAAATCCCTTAATGATATTAAAAGTGAAATAGAAAAATTAAGACATAAGTGTAATTCCTCCGAGAAAAGGATGGAACACAATTATCAGAATTACTTGCTAAACGGTCTCGTGTTTAATAATATTCCTGAGAGTGAGACAGAACAACTACATCAACAGGTAGTAAAAATCATTAATAATAAGTTAAATATACAAATAACCGAAAACGACATTAATTATTGTTATCGGATTGGTAAAAAACAAGATCCAATTATCGGTCGAACTAAAGTACGACCAACGGCAGTGATGTTTATAATCAGATGGAAACGAGATTTAGTGTTTAAAAATAAATCAAAATTAAAGGGCAGTGGATTAGTTGTAATGGAACTTTTAACAAAAGAAAATCAAGCTGTTTATAAATATACGTGTAATAAGTTTGGTTACAAGTGCTGCTGGTCGTGGAAAGGCCAAATTTTTGCAAGTGTAGGTGGTGTAAAGAAACATATTACCAGCTTGGATATGGGAGATTAAAATTTAGACCAATCAACCTGTGAGTAAAAATATATTTGTTGCTTTATGGCTATTAACAAAATGTTGAGTTGTGGGGCCAACTGAGTGCTATTTTTGACAAACAAAAACACAAACGTAGAGTTCTAGTTTTCTTTTTATTTTGTTTTCTTTTTAATTAATTGTTTTCTGCTATTGTTATTGTAAAAATAAATGTAAAGTTCTACAAATTTAAATATTATGCCTCTATCTATTAGTATGAAATAATTATTACTATAATATTACATTCATAAATAATTTGTTCCTTGTATTATATATTATGATTACTTTTGGTCATATTAACGTAAGATCACTAACTGCACATTTTATTGAATTCAAAAATTGTGTCCTTTTAAAAAATTTTGATATCTTAGCAGTTAGTGAAACTTGGCTTACAAATTTCATTACCGATAAGGATATAGGTATAGATGGGTATAATGTGATAAGAAGAGATAGAAATGGAATTGGGGGAGGTGTGGCATTTTATATCAAATCTCAAATTAAATATAAAATACTACAAACAAATAGAAACAATATTGAACACATTTGCTTAGAATTATTCTTACGTAATAAATCATATGGATTGTGTGTCGCATACAAACCACCTAAATTAAATGTCAGATATTTTGTTGACGAGTTTGAGAATATACTATCTAATATTATACCTTTGGTTGAAACATTATATTGTGCTGGTGACTTTAATGTTAATTTATTAAATACGGATTGTCCTGATACTAAGATTGTCTCTGATTTTTTTGAAACAATGGGGTTATATCAAGTCATAGATCAACCGACTAGAATCACATCTAGTACTGCAACCTTATTGATTATATGTTAACCACTAAACGAAATTCGATTTGTTGATTTCAGTGACCATGAGTTGTTGATATCCAAAATAAACATAGAAACTAAAAAGAAAGAAGTTGTTTATAAAACTGTCAGAAACTTTAAGGCAATAGATCATACCATATTTTATGAAGAATTACAGTCTCTACCTTGGCGAAATATTTTTGATATTGAGAGTATTGATGATAAAGTTGAATTTCTTACTAATAATATAATATGCTTACTGGATCGTCATGCTCCCTACGTAACTTATAAAATTTCGAAAAATTATGCACCATGGATGACTGATACTTTACGTATTATGAAAAGAGAAAGGGACAAAATACTGAGTATGTATAAAAAATACAAAAACATGCAAACTTGGGAGGAATACAAAACGATTAGAAATATGTTTACGTTAGCTGTTAGAAGAGAAAAAAAAGCCTTTTATTCAAACAAATTGGATAATAAAAACGGGAGAGATCTTTGGGATTCTTTAAAAATGATAGGTCTTGGTAGAGATACTGATAATACTAAGCAACTATCAGAAAATTTAAGTGATATTTCTGCAATGAATGAATACTTTATAAATTGTATTCCTAATATGAATCCTGATTTAACAATTAACAACTTTTATAATAATAATGTTCGTGTAAACATCGGTGCAAATTTCTCTTGTGTCCAAGAAAGTGACGTTTTAAATGTCATTAAAAGTATCAAGAGTGCTGCTACTGGATGCGACAAAATAAATATACTAACAATTAATATGTGCCTTCCGTTTTTAGTACCGTATTTGACGCATATTATCAATGTTTGCATTATAAGAGCAGAGTTTCCATCGATGGGGAAAGTTGCTAAAATTGTACCGATACCGAAAATTAATAACCCGACAGGTTTTAATGAAATACGGCCGATTAGTATACTACCTACTTTTTCAAAAATCCTAGAGAAAATTTTAAATCAGCAACTACAGGTTCACTTAGATAAACATAAAATTCTGCCAGAAAATCAGTCCGGTTTCAAAAAGGATCACAGCTGCACTAGTGCCCTTTTAAAAATAACTGATGACATATTTGGTGGTTGCGATAATGGTTTAATTACAGTGCTGATTCTTTTGGATTATTCCAAAGCTTTTGATACACTTGACCATTCTCTGTTGATTTCAATGTTTAAGTATATTGGTATGTCTAAGCGGGCATCTGATATGCTATTCAGCTATCTCAATAATAGAAGTCAAGCTGTTCATTACAATGGTAAGACATCAAACTATCTTAAAACAAATAAAGGGGTACCACAGGGCTCTATATTGGGTCCCAAATTATTTAGTATATATACTTCAAACTTTCCTGCTCATTTTCTCTCCTGTAATCAGCACTATTTTGCTGATGACACTCAGATCTACTTATCTTTTAAGCCTGATGAGTTTAAACAGGCAGTGGCTGCAATTAATTATGATTTAGAAAGAGTTTCTCAATTTTCTTCTAGCCATTGTCTTCGGCTTAATAACAATAAATCTGTAGGTATAGTTTTTGGTCCAGTGACACAAAGAGAAATATTTCTGAGAGATTTTGCTCATATGATCACCATTGATAATTCTTCGATAGAATTTAAGGCAACTGTCAAAAACTTAGGCTTACATATAGATCATAACTTAAGATTTGGTGATCATGTGAACAAGTGCTTGCAGAAAAGTTATATAAATTTGAAATTTATATTTCAATCCCGTCATATATTGACCAAAGACTTAAAAAAATTGCTGTGTGATACCTTGGTGTTATCACATTTTAACTATTGCGATTCTATTTATAATTCTTGTATTACAGAACGTGATAGTTATCGAATACAAAAAATGCAAAATTCTTGCCTTCGTTTGATACATGGTATCCGCAGAAATCAACCAATAAGTTACAAACTTAAAGAAACAGGTTGGTTAAGTATGAAACTCAGACGACATTTTCATTCAGCTTGTCAATTCCAAAAAATTATTATTTTTAAAACCCCACCATACCTCTATAATA